TCGTTAGTCGCCGTTACGAGTCGACCGGGCGTTTGATACGAAAATCGTACCAATCTCCGGTCGAATCTAAAACGTACGTAGGAGAACGTCGAGAGGCGGAGTTCGATCGCTTCGAAAGATATCGAAAATGTCGTGGCGAAATCGTGAGCACTACCCGGGGGGGCAGGGGGATCGATTTTGAGAGACTGTTACGCGATTCGAATCTCGGTATTATTCTATAATCTATTCAACGGGATGATAATGTCGGCAATGGCGGTTAGGGTCGGTCGGTTGCATGCCGTTCGGGTTGCATGCCACCAATAACCGACCCTCCCTCTCTATCCAGCCCGCTCGTTACACCCGCACGAAACCAGCTAACGCGCGCGAGAGAGTCTCGCGTTTACGTCCTCGATTACCGTTGCACGCGTTCCCGATCCGGAAAGAGGGAAAGGCCACTTCGCTCGTACGCTGCTCTTCCACGGTGTAAACGCGAGAGGAAAAGAGATACACGAGGATCGAGCCCCAGCCTCGTATACAAGGGAGGAATAGAGCGCGGGATGAACGACGACACGGTACATCTGATTTATGAGGTTCGTAAAGGAGATGGGAAAGACCGGTGGCGTGCAACGCGAACTTCTCGTTCCGCGGCTGACCGTCTTCTCCCATTGTTCGCTTGTAAGAATCCGCCTTGGCGAAACAATGCCATAAGGACGTTCTGATTTTTGAGAAACGGAAATCTTTTCCACCCGATCGTTAATCTGGTGGCAGCGGAGCGCGTTTCCCGTGCCGAGAGATGACATTCGTTTTTCGCGTCCGCGTTTCGACGATCTGCGGCACGGTGGTCCCGCTGTAACGTTGCCGCGTGATTTATACGCGTATGAACTATAGAAACGAGCGATAATTATGGTAATTGCAATTAATCAGATTTATGCCTGTTAACTATAAATCTGATTAGATCTGGGTATACATAGGTATAATAATGGTTAAATCTCTGTAAACGTACTAACCCCGATTCTAGCCGAGTACAAATTATTGTGCGAACGCAGCGCAAACCTGCGTCGCCGCCGCCGCCGCTCTCATTGTTGATCAAATTCAATGCGGCTAATGTTTACCTCGACGCGGGACCATTCGATTCTCCGCACGCGCGAAACGATCGACCACCGACACGAATCGTCGCGACCAAGAAAAAAGGATAACTGCCGATACGAAAAGAGTAGCGCACCGAACCGAACGACGGCCTCGCGGTTCCCGATTGAAATCGATCAATCGTAGCGGAACGCGGAAATTCGTGGTTCGCGATAATTGCGGGGAGCTCTGTCGAGCGAGAGATCCGGGCCAGGGCCGGGTTAGAAAACGAAAAGGGATAACGAACGAGCGAAATTTATGTCCGATTTCGAGGTCGTTTCGCGGATCCGCCGGTTACCTGGTCGAGATTTTCAAATTGGAGTTCCCGAGGGCGATAGGTTCCGACCTACGGGATCCGGAGCCGACACTGAGAGGGCAGGAATCCCTGGCCAGTTTCGACCCGGCGCGTAATCCAGGGACGAATCCCTAAGATCAACGGGGTCTGGTTTCGCCGGGAGCCCACCGTCGACCTTTCCTAACCGATTCTATATCCTGGCTATTCTCGCCCGCTGCCTCGACAACGATTCCTCCGTTCGAAAACTTCTCTCTGTTTGCCGACCACTCTATCTTTACCGTTTAACGATCGCGTTACAGGGATCGCGTGCTCGCAACTTTTCGCGCTCCTAAAACTTTTCTCTTCCCACCGTCCGACTTTCGACTCACCCGCCGCCTCTCCCAGGACCACCGATTTCGTCGCGAATCGGTTTCTCCTGTTGCGAGGAGAGATCGATATCGCCCGCAGACCCGCTAGAAGAATCGCCCACCGAAAGAATGTTCTTCCTCTTAAACCTGTGGATCGGTACTGGTTTCTTCGGTTATACTTCGATTCGGGTGGATTGAGAGTTCCGGCCCGGGGCAAACGGGGTCAGGAAGGTGGTGCGAGGTCAAGACGGGGATTACGATCTCGTGAGGTCTCCTTGGGAAACCCAACCTACGAGGCTATACATATCCATCCCATAAATTATGCCCCCGTCTAAACAGGCGGTGCCTCTATGAAGTAGCCGCCCAGAGATCGATTAACACAGCTACTCGTTTAGCAAATCGCTGGATAAATCATCCGAACCCGAGCATCTCATGATTTATAAAAATGTTCCCATAATAACGTCGAAAATCTCGAGCGTCTATTGTTTATACTCTGTTATATTCTGGCACGTGAATGGACGATCGAGTGGTTCTCGGTATAAGTACCTGTTCAGGTAACTAGGTACATACATGACCAGTAAAGTGACCGGCAATCGCTGGCGGTATTTCGAAGGGACGCGTTAGATTTATTCGTACAAAGGTTCCGCTTCGTTAACGGAGAGGGTACGCATAAATGTTTGATAACGCGGCAAGATAGAAAGCGATGGTACGGAAGGGTGCGCGTGTCGTTTCCGTTTAGAGGGTTTGCTAACGGAGACACGCGCGTGTGTGCTTAGCCGTGCGCGCATAGTTCGCATACCAACCCTTCCGTCCATGGTATGTTATAATTAGTGGACGTAGAGAGCGCACGCAACATTGATACGTCCACCGGCTTCCGAATACTTCCTTAATGAGATGGCTTTGTCAACAACGGGTTAAGTGTTCGCGTACCTCTTCAATCTCCAGCTTCCCTAACTTTTCCCAGACCAATCGATTCAAACAGTACGTCTGTCCAATCGTCTACTCCATTCGACCGGATCGTTACCCAGACATCCGAGTACACGCATCGATACGTAATAATTATAACAATAATATGCACAATGCATTAATATATTTTGTCATGTCGAATTGTTCACGGAAAGTGGTTCCTTCATTTTCTTTCCGTCCTTGCCCTTTCTCCCGTTGCGTATCGCGCACCGTTTCCCCGTGTTCGTTTGCCAGCGACGATGCGCGCGAAGAGAAACGGACGTTGAAGGTGGTATCGGGGGATGAATAAGAGAGGACCGGCTGTGAAGCGCACCGAGGGAAATCCGTGGCCTCCTTCCAGCTCTGCTCGCAATAATCGTTATTACGAATAGTTCGCGAACTACTAACGCGAAGGGAACGAGCGTCGAATGTCGGAAACGCGTGGATCCCCGCCAGAAGGATCGACGAAATCTTTGTTTCGAGAGACGAGCAATTTCGCGACTCGTCTTGCTCAAAGTCTTTAAAAGGGTAGTTTCGCTTTACAGACTCTGAATCATCGGGAACCCGGTGGCGGATCGAGATTTCGCGGAACGCCAACGTCGAAAGACGTATAGTCAGCGACGTAGTAATCGGCAGCCACGGGACGAAACGATACGCGACTAGATCGGATCGAAGGGCGTATCAATTAATCACGCGTCGCCCAGAAGTTGACACGGATCTTCTCGGGTCGCAGTTACATCGGTGCTGGTACACGGGAGAGGCGTCGCGACGGTTATCAATTATCCACCGATAAAGCTGCCACCCGGAAACCAGGAATCCGCTCCACCCACCCTCGATATTCCTTCGATCCACGATTGAAATTTATTGACACGCTATAATTACGTGCCAGGAAGTTGATTATGCGTCGTTGCGATCCTCGTTACGCGCATAGGTACCTGCGCTTAACTGCACTATGGACGGAGAGCAGAGCACCGGCAGAGTGAACGAGACAGAGAGAACGGATGCATGACGTCTGTCCTTTTGATCTGCCGCGAACGAGCAGCAGCCGCGATTTCGCGGAAACTCGACTCTGTACGAAACGATCGTAGCTCTCGACGTTGAAAATTCGTGGGGAAAATAGAGCGAGGTAAATCGATCAATTACTGGATGAAAATCCGACCGTGTCGATTACCGTTGTTCCTTCGAAACGTCCGTAACACTTTGTAGAACAACGGATAGTGGACAGCAACGTATTAATCGCTGGGTATCCAGTATTGCGGCTTGTTCTGGCACGAGGCCGATTGAAAAATGATCCGGCGTCGAATTCTGCCAGCGAAAGAGTCGACGCGTAGTACGAGTGTGCAAGTTTAATTGCTGAACTTTCCAGACTATCGCAGATTACGGAGAATATTGAAAAACGGTGGTAATATCGCGGTCGTGCTCTATTTTCATCCGTTCGCTTCCATTTCTGCTATCCTGCGAACGTGCACAGGGTGGACAATCGAAGCGTTACAGTCACACGTATGTAGGACGTCGCGACGGTCTACCAGTCACTATTCTGAGCCGAACGTCGTTTCTTTCTTTTCAGTTCTCAAGCGCGAAAAATTATTCCGAGCGGTTATGTAACGGCATTTAAATCCCGATACCGGGAGGAGTGTTCTTTCTGGATTTTCAGGTTCATTAAGGAAAACTACAGAGGCGCGGTAGAGCGACATAATTGTCAATTAAAACGTTTCGTATTTCATCGGCCTCGGAAGATAGAATCTCGACGGAGCTTTTAATTAATAGCCGTTTCAATTAAGGAGGCATCCGGTCATAGCGGTTTGTCGCACCTGGCCGGGTGACCATGTATGATGATCCGTCGCGTGGGAATTTTGCGTTTCGGGCGAAAGAATAGAATCGAGATTGTAAAGAGAAGCTCTATATGAAAAGCCTTGGAGACGGCGTTCATTGCGACCAGCTCGGGAACCGGATAAACATCGCGGCTGCGAAACAGAATGTGGAAAGGAATTTTCGGAGTTCGAGTGGCGAGCGTGGAGCGAGTTGCGAGGTGGGTTTAATAACGCCAACTCACTATGGTGTACGTAGGCACTCCATGCGCGCGTACACAGCATCGCGACAGAAAAGAGAGCACGACCAAGCCATTTTACTGCATATTAGTCGTGCGAGCCACGGATTCCTGAACCGCCGCAGATTTTTCGTTGGCGCGACCCAGAAATCAAAGCTGCGCTACGTCGCTATACGTCGCTATCGCGATTTCTCTCACGCATCCTCGAGTTCTCTGCTTTGAATCGCGAATCGATGATCGATAGCTGTTTTTAATTACTCACGTATATAGAGGCACGCCGGCCTCGTCCTTGAACCAGAAAACCATGTGCAGAGTGTCGTCCCCGGGTGGAGTGATGTCGCATGGCAATTCCGCTGGCTTTCCTTCCACGACGCTGATGTTTACCAAAGGCACTGCGAAACGGAAAGAAAAAAGTTGATACACTTTTGATTCGGAAATTGAATCGTACCTATCCGGTAAAAGTAGATACGGAAATATATTCGTCGAGGAGAAAAAACGCGACCGAGAGGAGAGGGAGTTGTATTTCTCGATAGCGGAAATACAGGCATTCCGATGCGAACAAAATCGAAGGTGGATGACGTTGGCCAGCGATATGTAAAGCGCATTCGGTATAGGATTAAGAGATCCGCTTATGAAATTCGGTCCCGAGCGACCACGACCGTAAACCAGCCGCAGGATCGTGCTCGCCGAAGACGATCTTACCGGAGCTCGGGGGTAAGTGGAAAGCTCGAGGGTCCGATCGCACGGAAAGGGCAATTCCTTCGGGAATTTCCGGTAGGCTATTCCCAAGGAAACGAGTTTCCATTCGATTCGGTCCGCTGCTTTCGTTCTCGGCGCTGGACGATCGAAACAAAAATCGGAGCTACCTCGTCGAATTTTCTCTCGTTCCTCGAGTCCTCGGCCTTGGGACGATTCGCCGAACTCGATGGGTCGCGGGATAAAGAAAAAATAAATCTCAACCTTTTACGCGTTCGCCGGTGATGCGACGCTCCTGATTTCAACAACGGCCGGCGTACTCTTGAAAATCAGAGCCGAAAGGATTAGCGCGCACTTCGTATTCATTTCGCCGTTTCCCTCGGGCATAAATATCGCTTAGGGGTGACTGTTTATCATATAAACGCCCGGGAGATAGGTACGGTGCTCATTTAAATTCTCGGTTTTTCGAGCTAGCTGCATGCAACAAGCGACGGCGCGGCTGTTCGCGACGAACGTTTCTCGGGCAACAAATGCGACGACTCCTCGAGAATATCGTTCCTGGATTCGTTATAATTTCATGCCGGCATTTCGCGGGTTTCCCGGCGATTTACCATTTGCTTTCACGCCCGGCGTAGTAACGGGTGTCGCGACCGTTTCGGAATTTTTCATAACCATCGCGCTTCTCTCCCGGGTCCCGCGGAACCCGGGGTCTAATTAGATTAGCCCGGCGTTGCTCGCGGACATCGTAGAATTAAGCTAAAACGAAGAGAAAGAAAAAACGACTTCGGGAGGGAGAAGGCGATTACAACGAAACGACCGCGTAATTAACGGAGGCCCGGACTAGCCGTGGCACGAAAGCTCGAACAATCGAGAACAGGTGCAGGGCGTCGGCACCGATTCTCGAGAACGGCAATGGGAACGGGGGCAGTTTACTCTGTCGATTTTACTTATTTACGCGGTGTTTCTACGTCGGTGGACGCGAAAGCGACCGCGACGCAGCCATCGATCAGCCGCGAATAGCACGAATGCGCCCTCGTGTGTAGTTTAAATACCAGAGAAGCCTTGAAAGCCGTTTCGATTAATGGAATTCCGCAACACGCCCGCAATTAACCCTCAAAGACCCGAAGCGAGGCGGTGCGCGCTGGTCGAAACGTCCAGCGGTGTGCTAATGGCGGACCCGGGGCCGGAGCTACGGCTCGCGTTGCATTCGAAACGCATTTAATGAATTCGTTATCGATCGGCAAATCAACCGTTCGTCTCGTTTTCCCATCGAAGACGCGCGACGTTGCCACCAAAGGGAAACCGATGGAATTTCCGACGTTGTCCCGGGGTCACCGACTCGACCGAATCGACCTTTCACCCTCCACGATCGTCCCGACGACTTAATTAAACCCGTGTCAGATTCCACTAGTCCGACGCGCGATCACCGTTCCGAGCGGCGACCAAGTAGTACAGGATTCGGTATATTCTATGCCACGTGGAACATCGAGCGAAAGTTTTCTCGGAAAGTCAGGGTAAAGAACGAAACTTTCCAGCTGGCCCGAAACTTAGCGTCATCGTTGATCACCGGGAGGCGACAACCGGACCAAGTATTTTCATAAATCTTTCACGACGACGTGCGTCGATCAATCATTCTAATTTCTGATCGGTCTGTATCAAGCGTTGATTCGAATTCGAGTCGCGGAACACGACGATATCGATGCAAATTTCACAGGGGTTGCGTTCAGGCATGAATCCGGTCGGCTCGTGGTTGTGACAAAGACTTTGTTCTCTCCTTGTTTGCACCGTGCAAGGCGACGCAGCTGCGCGCATCTCCGATTTTACGATATTTTCATCCGCGGAGGCTATCACAAAGTGTACCCGACAAACTCGTAAACGAGAGAAAACTTCGAGAGAACTTGCCGTCGTGGATCGTTTCATCGAGTAACGATGTAATGCGTCCAACGGTGGATTACCTCTGTTACGGTGAAAATCAGGGGCTAAGTAAAAGTTGTTTGCCCGCGGAGGAACGAAGAACGCGGGAGTCGAGGATAAACGTAGCTGCATTCTCAGCGGCGTACAACGTAAAAAATCGATGATTTGTCCGGTCGTAATGTTTTCGAAAGTAGTAGACGACGAGAGGGGCGTCGCGACACGAGACGAAACGAAGGGATAATGGGGTCCGTTTTAACGAGGCAAACGTTACGATCGTCAAAGCGACCCGTCTTTCTCGCAAATTAACTCGAGTCGGAGGACCGGTTGTTAGTCGCCATTATGCCGGCAATTCGCGTAGACGGATGGATGGATCCGCGGCGAGGGACTGGAACCGGGGCTAGATACGTGTACGCGTACACGTACGTAGGAGGGAACGACGAGTCCGTTATTTACGGAGAGAGTCCACCCCTTTCCACCTTTCACCCTTTCTCCGTTTCCCTTCCAAGGACGGCAGAACCCTTCAACGCGTCGAGCACTGGACCGTTTAACTCGCGTTAAGCGACATTGTCTACGCTTATTGTCGCGCCCTTCCCCGTGCTTCTGCCCGTTCCGAAACTAGAGGTGGTTTTCCGGTTTAATGTAGCGAATTACAATTGCGTTAGCGTACTGCAGATCGATTCATTTAATCTACAAGAATAGAAGAATAGAAAATAGGAAGAATGACGTTTCGAGATCTAGTTCTCTTATTAAATTTTCAATTTGAATTACGATAAAGTGTGTTCTAAACCGGGGTTGGGAGCTAAGTTAATTTAATATTTCCGAAAACGCTAATCATTTCTTGGGATTGATAAATGCCAGAATGTCATCTTTGTCGTGGGAGATTGAATCAAATCATAGATTCGAGTAAAAATGTTCTATTGTCCCGGCGTGGCCAGGCGCGGCGTGGAAACTAGGGGCTCGAGAAGGAGGGCGAAAGGGAGAGAACGGAGCTTACGCTTTATTGCGTATTTACATATTTTCACCGATTTACCCCTCGTCGTTTCGTAAAATCCAACGTCTTTATAGGGGTCGCTGCCTTTTCCACGACGCTTCGTCGACACTTTATATCTTTGAATTTTTGCGACAAAGATTTTCCCCTCGGTTCAAGCCTCGCCTCTCCCCCATTATTTTTCAATAGTACCGAGCGAGTCGGATAGACAAAAACGAAGCGGTAAGCGAAAGGGACAAAATGCATGGCAAGAAATCACGGACACAATATAAAAAAAACAATAGGCTCATTCATGGTGTCGGTTCCTATGATCTCGTGACCAATAGACTTGTCATATTGTTAGTTGTGCTCTAATTTGAAAGGAAAACCACGATTTTATACATTACAAAAGCGTGGGTTCAACAGACTTAAGGATGTATTGGCTACACAGTCAATCCCAAAAGTTTATGTACCTTAGAAAAACGCATTTCCTATAATTAAAAATAGTGCATTTTTCTTCTAATTTC